TCCCCTCTCCTGGTCACACACTGGCTGCAGGGAGCCCTGCAGAGCAGAGATTTTCCTTTGGGCTTCAGTTTACCATGGACACCTGCCCTCCCATCCCCCTTGGCTGGCCCCGGCAGGCCATGCACACGCCCTCCCCTTCCCTGGCAGCCTCCCTGTTCCACCGCCCTCCCCAATCCACCCTGTGCGCAGTTGGAAAAATGTGGCCGAAAGGAACTAGCTGCAGGTGTTTTGTGTAGCAACAAGCCGCATGGCCAGCGAGTGCCAGAACAAATGTGGGGACTAAGGGGCGCAGGGTGTTGCCCTTTGGGATCTCGTGTCCTTGTGGTTCTGGCTGGCGCTCTAAAACGTCATTGACCCCTCGGTGCAGGAGTTGCCTCTGGATTCTGGACGTGAGCTTTGCTGTCGGAGGGCAGGAGACCGGACTTGGCTGCTCCAGGTCCCTTCGGGTTCTAGGATTCGATGCTTTGCCCGGAGGTAGCGGTGCTTGTGGACTAGGGCTCGCCAGTGCTCGGTGCTGTACAAAGACCGGACTAAATACTTGCCTGGCCTTTTGTGCAGGCGGCTTTTCCTCTGGTGCTCGTGGGCGAGAGGTTTTCTGGAAAAAGGCCTGGGAAGGGCGTTGTTCAGCGGCTCTACCTCTGGTAGGGGTGTAACAGTGCAGGCGATGAACTGATTAACCGATAAGCAAAGGTTAATCGGTTAGTGCTATCGACTACCCGCATTTCCCCCCGCCCACCAGTACATTTTTTAACAGATTGGCCAGCAGCCTGGCTCAGTTCTGGCTTGCGCCGGGTCCGGGACCTACCCCTGCTGCGGCACTGCATTGAAAGTGTTTTAGGAACCGGTGGGGCAGGCAGCCCCACTTAGTTCCAGTTAGCGCTGGGTCTGGGAGCTCAGACCTCCTCCCCCACCTCCCCACAGTGGCTGCTGTTTTGGTTTTTCAAACTGGCTCTTCTTGCAGACCAGCTCCTGCTTGGCACCCCATGTTGCTGCCTCTGATCCAGAGGCAGCAGCGCAGAGAGGCAGGGGGCTCCTCAGGAGTGGGGCTGGAGCACGGGCTGCCGGCCCCGCCCCCTGGGACTATAGAATAGACAAGTAACCGATAAGAATTCATGAGGTGAATTGACTATTCAGTTAACCGTTATTTAACATCCCTAGCCTCTAGGCCCCCAACCCCCTCCGTTCTCTTCTGACTCTTCATCGCTGGGCTTCTGCAGTGAAATTAGACTCATCAGGTTTCCCTCTGAGTCTTGTACTCCGGCACAATCTGCCCAGCATCCAGCGGGTGGTTGAAATGCAAATCCCTTTCTAGTCCCTTTAAAAAAAAAAACCCCCAAGCCCTCTTCTCTACTGACCCTTGAAACTGCCGCCTGCAACGCGTCCTGCTCCGACACGGTACAGGAGCTTTCTCGACCCCTCTTTGCAGCATCTAAAGCAAGATGAGCGTGTTCCTCTCGCCAGCTGCAACCAGCTGTGTCTGTCTGCTGCTGCTGCATTTCATTCATTTGCATCTGTTTCTTTTCGGAGGGCTTGGGCAGCTTGTGCCGTGTGTTTCGAGGGCACCGCTCGCGCTGGATCTAAGTGTCAGTCCCGATGCAGTGACAGGGCCCCCTTTTTCACACACACCCTTGTAGCACTGGTTTTGTTTGGCCCAAATTGGTAATGCCACTTCCCCAGCCAGCTGTGGGCCTTGAGCTCCGTTCCCGCCGGCACTGAGGGCCAAGCTGGGTGCCAGCAAGCCGCTGCCCCTGCAGGAAGGGGCGCATCTTGACGCAATGTACAGAGAAGCGTGAGGCTTTGGCGTCTGCAGGAGGCTAGTGAAATCGGACTCCTCGTGGGCTTTGGGCCGGGTGAATTCAGTGCTCCTGAAACGTCCACAGGGCTGGAGGCTGGAGCAGTCTCTCTGGCCCCTCCCCTCCTTGGCCTCAGCTGGGATGACCTGCGAAGCGGGCAGGGCCTGTCCACACTCCTGGTTCTTTTCCTGCTTGGGACACCTGCTCTGTTAGGGACTGAGTCGAAACCCCCCAGATGCTTCAGATCAGCCAGGGAGCTGCCAGCAGGGGATGCCGGAGGGCTCGAGTCCTTCTCCGCGATCCGGGCTGCGTGCAGAAGAACCAGGTGGGGGCTACGTTCCGACCTCCCAGATGCTTGTAGACTTGTGAGCTGACGTCAGGGCAATACGCTGGTGCCTGCGTAGAACCTGAGCCCAGAACCTGGCTCCCTGTGAGATGGGTGAGGGGCACGAGCGGCCAAGAACCAGCGCAGCTGTCAAAACCAGCCCCTTGCTGCAGGGTCCCCGTTTCTGCTCCTGTAAGATTGTGCTGCTAGCCCGACCCCGGCGACGGGCACAAAAGGTGTCCCAAAGAACAGCCGGGCAATACGCTGGTGCCTGCGTAGAACCTGAGCCCAGAACCTGGCTCCCTGTGAGATGGGTGAGGGGCACGAGCGGCCAAGAACCAGCGCAGCTGTCAAAACCAGCCCCTTGCTGCAGGGTCCCCGTTTCTGCTCCTGTAAGATTGTGCTGCTAGCCCGACCCCGGCGACGGGCACAAAAGGTGTCCCAAAGAACAGCCCCGCGTCCTCGGGCGGACGTGGGATCCCGCATCCAGAGCTGAGCCATCGACTCGGAACTGTCCCCGGACCACAAGCCGAGGGCACGGCTCCCCCGCTGCGAGCCACACAGCTCTCTTCACCCGGGAGCCGAGCTTGCTGATTGCACGGTGCCGAGCGAGACGCCTGTGCCGAGAGCTGAGCTGGGGAAGGAGGCCGTCGGCTGCCTGGCTGGGTTGGCAACCCCCCTGTTTAAGGCTCACGTGCGCCTAGCGTGGGGTGGGTCCGCGGGGATCGCGTTGGCGGACGCAATGCTTGGTCGCGCTCCCCACTGAGCGAGTCCCTTGGGGCCTGATCCAAAGCCCCCGGAGCTCAGAGCTAGTCCGTTGGCTTCAGTGGGTGTTGGAGACAGGCCCGCAGAAGTACCGGGCACCCACAAAACCCAGTGATGCTAATGCTAATCCCCGCCTTCACAGCCAGGCCACTGACTTCTCTGGGCTGCGCCTGCTCCACTGAGCCACCGTTTCCCTACTGGTGAAACAGAGACAGGGACCTGGATCTTCACAAGCTTCAGGGCCCCGTTACTGACGTGTGCATGTGCTCCTGTTAACGGGGCGTAGCCTCTAGGCTGGAGGACGATAACTCCTAAGGCTCCCTCTCGTTTTTTTCCACCCATGTGCGGAATAATTTTGCATGCACCAAGGCATGTGCGCATGGGCACCACCAGCAGATACTAGCTGTGATTTCTGCTAATCAGCTGGGCAGCATTTGACTCTCTCCTGAGAGGCTGCACCAGGGCACAGCCGACGAGGAACACTGCTCTTGCCGGTCCATTCAGGCTGCTCTGTGTAAGAGTGTCCTGAGGATCTAGCGAGGATTATTAACGTGGAGTTTAAAAATTGCCGGGTTACAAGAGATGTCTGGGAAAATAACGTACGTTTAGTGCACTCAGAATAACCAAGGGTCAGATTCTATTACCGCTCCACCGCCTGCAGTCCCAGTGACTTGCATATAACATAGGACTTGCCATAGCACATCAGGCCCAAGGACTATGTACCCAAGTACCCTGTCTGTGAGAGGAGCTAGATACTTTAGAGGATGGTGCAGGAACCGCACCATGGCATATAGATGGTTTACATTAATCTGCCACCCCTACTAGCTGTCATCTGGCTTTACAAAAGTTAAGAGATTGGCTTAAGCCCCGAACTGAAGTTTAATGTTGCTAACAACGTTTGGAAGGAATAACAAGACTCTTTGTTGTTTGACTAGTTATCGTTAGAAATCTCCAGTTCTATCTGCCAAATCCTGCCAAATTCTTGGCCTTCACAGTGTCCTGTGGCAGCGAGTTCCACAGTGTAATGTCACATGGGATAGAAAAAAGTCACTCGTCAGTTTTCTTTTTACCACCTTTCGATTTCATTGGAAGTCCCCTTGTGTTTGTGCTATGAGACAAGGAGAATAGATGTTCTTGAAGTGGTGGAAGCTTGTGCCAGATTCGTAAAGTTATCGGCTGTCAATGTCATGTGACCAGCAGTTTGGCCATGGCAAGGCTGATCCACAGGCTTCATAGCAAGCTGTCTTGGAGTTTTTCTTCCTTTAGTGAAAGCCCGACACCAACGTGGGCGGGGGGAGGAGAGGGCTCTTCAATTGCAGACAAGTGATTCTTTTAAATAACTTTTTTAAATGTACAGAAAGGATGTGGACACGTGGGAGAGGGTCCAGCGGAGGGCGACCAAAATGATTCGGGGGCTGGAGCATGTGACTTACGAGAAGCAGCTGAGGGGTTTGGGCTTGTTTAGTCTGCAGATGAGAAGAGTGAGGGGGGATTTGAGAGCAGCCTGCAACTCCCAGAAGGGGGGTTCCAAAGAGGCTGGCGAGAGGCTGGTCTCAGTGGGGCAGATCGAGGAGCAATGGGCTCAAGTTGCAGTGGGGGAGGTCTAGGTTGGAAAAATCCAACGTTTTCCTGAGGAGGGTGGGGAGGCGCTGGGATGGTTCCCTAGGGAGGGGGTGGAATCTCCATCCCTAGAGGTTTTGAAGTCCCGGCTTGCCAAAGCCCTGGCTGGGGTGATTGAGTCGGGGTCGGTCCTGCTTTGGGCAGGGGGCTGGACTTGATGCCTCCTGAGGTCCCTGCTGGCCCTGGGATTCTATGATCATAGAAAACTTTTCCCCGCTCTTGGATTTGAATAAACGTGGCTCCTCTCATAGCCCCAAGCCTGCCACTGCTGACCTGCTTAACGCCGAGTGCATGAGGATTCCTGTTGGAACCAGCCTCCGTGTAATGAAGGAAAACCCTCCCCCTCCTCTCTCCAGCCACGCCTGACTTGTCTTGTGCTCCTTTCTCTGTCCTAGGTGATGCTGGTGGGTGACTCTGGAGTTGGCAAAACCTGCCTGCTGGTGCGGTTTAAAGATGGCGCGTTCCTGGCTGGCAGCTTCATTTCGACGGTGGGGATCGACTTCCGGGTAAGGAGTCCTCGGACAGCTTTGTGCAATGTTGCTTCTTAACGGCTCTTCCTCCCCACCCCCTGCGTCCAGCTGATCTGAGAATGGCAAGTGCCAACTTCCGAGTTCTCGGGATTGGCTGGGGTGGAGATTTCCTGCACCCCTCCTGCCAGAGCCCCTTCGGGGTTCGGCACGCGGGCCTTGCACAGCCGTTGCGTTATGTGTCTGGAATACTGTGTGTTGCCCCCGTGGCTGCAGGAAAATGTCTCTTCTATCGCTGGAGGCTGGGAATAGCTGGGAACCTGCCTGTCGGACACTCGGGAAGTTTGTACTCTGAGTGGCTGCTTTGGCGGATGTGTGTTGTGGTGTCATGCTCCCGGGCCTATGACCTCATGGCTGGGGCGTATGAGCTCACAGCATGAGCTGAGCGCCTCCATGGGGGGAGAGAGGTTCACGCAGACACCAGTGTCTGTGAGATCAAGGGGAGGAGTCCTTCCCTGGTGCTAAGGCTGAGCTGCGGCATCCCGAGGTTCCGCAGTTCAGTGCCCGGGGACCTGCGGGCTTCACTCAGTTATGAATGTGAAAAAATTTGCCTGCACCTCGGCACGTCTTCCGTTGCGAATCGAGCCCTAGCGAGAAGCAGGGGGAGACGCCATTTGAACTCCACCCTCCCCACTGTTCTTGTTCAAAGCAGACGTGACTCAGGGTGGCATTCACGGGAGCGTTGTGAGCAAGACACGAGAAGTCATTCTTCCGCTCTGCTCTGCGCTGGCTAGGCCTCAGCTGGAGTGTTGTGTTCAGTTCTGGGCACCGCATTTCAGGGAAGAGGTGGAGAAATGGGAGAAGGTCCGGAGAAGAGCAACAAGAATGATGATGAAAGATGCAGAGAACATGACCTACGAGGGAAGCCTGAAAGAATTGGGCTTGTTCAGTTTAGAAAAGAGCAGACTGAGAGGGGACATGGGAGCAGCTTTCAAGTACCTAACAGGGTGTCACAAGGAGGAGAGAGAAAACTTGCTCTCCTTGGCCTCTGAGGATAGAACAAGAAGCAATGGGCTTAAACTGCAGCAAGGGAGGTTTAGGTTGGACATTAGGAAAAACTTCCTAACTGCCAGGGCGGTTAAACACTGGAATAAATTGCCCAGAGAGGTTGTGGAATCTCCATCCCTGGAGATATTGAAGAGCAGGTGAGAGAGCCCTCTATCAGGGGTGGTCTAGATGGTGCTGAGTCCTGCCATGAGGGCAGGGGACTGGACTCGACGACCTCTCGAGATCCCTTCCGGTTCTAGGGTTCTATGAAAGTCTGGTCGGGGGCAGGGCTTCCATTCCAGATGTGGGCTGTCTGCGCTGGGCATCAGCCCTTGAGCTGTGGGGAGGGTTCCCGGGCTCGCAAGAGGCAGCGTCCGAGTGATGGGGCAGGTTGCTTACAGTAGAGCCAGGCCCCTTTGGATCTATCTCAGTAGAGCCAGGTGTGGTCCCTGGAGGGGCTGGGGACCCACCAGCAAAGCAGGCCAGAGCTCAGTCAGAAGGGATGTCGCAGATTCCTGCAAGCGTGTGTGACCCCGGACCTAGCACAGTTCTGGGCACCCTGTGTGTGCTCAGCGTTGGCTTGGGAGAAGACCTGAACCAGAGGTCCTCATTGCACGTGGTTATTTAGGGTCCACGTGGCATCTTCCAGTCGCGCTTTTCTGAGAGTGTCCAGCTGTTACGTTCTATGTGCTGCGTTCCTCCTGCGGTTTTAACTTAATACAGCAGCCTTGACTTCCTAGAGCGCGGCTCGGTGCTGTCCGCTCGACACACTTAAGTAAAATTTGTCCCCAATGTAAGTTGTTGGTTTTTTTTTAAATATTTTGATTGACCGTCAGTTTTTCTATCCATATTTTTAAAAAACCAACAACCTTAAATGGAAACTCTTCCTGCAAACAAAACACTTCCTTCAAGCGTTGGCAACCAAAATTTTGCTGGTGCATGGGAGTAAAAATTAGTGGGCACTGACTGTGCCTGACCAATCTATTTTTTTCCTGAGCTGAGAAATGCAGCAAGTGAGGAGGCAGCATAAATAGCACACAGTCAATTAGACTTCGAAAAGTCTTTCGCTTTGAGTAAGCTGAGGTAGTGGGAGTGACAGAGGAAGAGGTTCCATTCTCTTAAAACTATAGTCGCTATTTTAAACCTGACTGTCTTTTTTAAACGGTTGCTACGTTTCTTCCCAAGGGTACTTGTGTTTGTAAGGTGTGTATGTCCTGCCCCTGTGTATCGTTTGGGATGAGAACTTCGGAATGTACAGACTAGGTCAGACCAAAGGTCCAACCAGCCCAGTGTCCGGTCTGCTGACAGTGGCCAATACCAGGTGCCCCAGAGGGAGTGAACAGAACGGGGAAATGTCATGTGATCCTTCTCCTCTCACCCATTCCCAACCTCTGTCAAACAAAGGCTAGCAACACCATCCCTGCCCACCCTGGTGAATAGCTATTGATGGACCTCTCCTCCATGAATGTATCTAGTTCTTTTTTGAAAGTCCTGATCTTCACAACATCCTCTGGCAAGGAGTTCCACAGGTTGACTGTGTATTCTGTGAAGAAATCCTTCCTTTTGTTCATCTGAATAGTGGAAGTCCATAAGCAAGAGCCCTGCAAGTTGCTGCTACGAGAACAAGCCAATAACTTGTCCAGGATTCAGTAGCCCGGTATTTCTGGTCTCTGCTTGTCTAACATCTCCGCATTGAACTGCAAAGTAACCTGGGATGTGTTCCAGAGTCTGCCCCAGTATCACACCCACGCAGGTCCCGTGGGGGCAGAACTAGGACTGTTCCTGCTTCAGAGCCAACTGCTGCCCACCTGCCCTCGGCCCTGAGGTGAGCACGGAGCCCTGTTCCTCGCGAACCGTTGGCTGGACTTTCACCCTCTCCTCCCGGCTGCGAATGGGGGCTGGTTATGAACAGGGACGTTAGAGATCGATTAATCGAATACTCGAGTAACCTCGGGAATTCTTATCGGTTACTCGACTGTTCTGTAGTCCCCAGGGGTGGGGCTGGCAGCCGGTGTGCTCCGGTCCCACTCCCGAGGAGCCCCCGTCACTTGGCGCTGCTGCCTTTGTATCAGAGGCAGCAGTGCGGGGCGCCAGGCGGGAGCTGGTTGGAGAAGAGCCAGTTTAAAAATCAGCTCCCCTCACGGACCAGCTGCCTGTCAACCTGTGCGGCTGCCTCTGATAAATCCCAGACCCTGCATAAGCTGGAACTGAGTTGGGCTGCCTGCCTGGCTCCTAATACACTTTGAATGTAGAGCTGCAGCGGGGGTGGGTCCTGGACCCGGCCTGAGCCAGGACTGAGCTGGGCTGCTGGCAGCCTGCAAAAAAATTTTCTTGGGGGAGGATGCGTGTAGTCTATAGCATGAACCTATACGTTTTTGCTTATCAGTTAATCGACTCCACTATTACAGCCCTGGTTACGTATCTGTTCCTCGTAACTGTACAAATTCTCTCGGAACACGGTTCAGCCAATGGGCTATTTGATTTAACCAGGGTTCTGATTCTGTGGTGCGGGATTGGGCACTGAGGCCAAATGGAATCGTTGCTGTTTCCTGATTGGATGACACTTTTTTTCTTTTTGCCTCCCCCTCCCTTTTTTTTTAAAGGGACGAGTAGAAATGAGGTCTTACACGCGTCAGCACACGGAAGTGCTCAGTAACAAATTTCCAGGTTCCGTACTGGGCCTCCAGGGAAGACAGGTGGTTTGGGGAGGCAGCCAGGGGAGGATGGGAAGGTGCAGGCAGGGGGCCTGGAATCATTTTTCTAGTGTGTGTGCTGAACACACGTGTAAACCCTGGCTAGGCCCTGAACTTCAAGCTGTCCTGCTGCCTGCGTCCCTGGGTGGGGAGCTGGCTGATGAGTGGGCTGCGGGTGTATGAAAGGACCGTGCTTGGGCCGTAGACCTGCGTGGGAGGTGCAGAGAGACAAAACGCACGTTGCATTGATTTTCCTGGTGTGTGGAGCCCGACTAGTCATCCTTTTATGTGTCTCTTTTGTTTTAAATTCTTCAAGTTTTGAAATTAGAAACAGCCATTCTGAAAAAAAGCCACCCCCTCCTACCGCTGGGCAAAAACATCCGGGGGGAAGAATTTGTGCAAGAAAAAGGGGGGGTCTAAATTCCCCTTCCCCATCTTTATTTGTTGAATTCTTGACCATTTGTCCCTTTAAAATAAAAATTAGATGATGTTACATTTCGGGATGTTACACTTTGATTAATCAGCTAATCAAGTAGTTGATGGAATTTCCATCGACTATTTGATTAGTTGATAAGGGGGGGGGAAGCCAGTGCGAGTGGGCACTGCTTTTAAGCTGGCTCCCCCAGCACCAGCACTTACTCCACTATTCCCTGGAGCTCAGTAAAGCGGAGCCTTGGGGTACGTCTACACGCAAGAGAGTGACTGCAGTGTGTAGATAAGACCTGACCTGGCTTGAGTCTAGCTAGCTTGGATATTGGCGCAGTGACGCTCCACCCGGCTTTTGTACGGACAGTGTGAACACACCTGGCACCTGGGGTAATGAATGGGGAGGCTTTGCTGTTCTGAGTGCTTGAGCTAGGTCGATTAAAGCCAGCTTTGATACAGGCACCAGCTCTGCTCACACCTGTGCTTGTGCTGTGGGCGGACCCAAAGGGAGTAAGAAACCGGGGGAAGAAGAAAGAGAAGTGAAGGAAACGGGGGGGGGGAACCCTTTTGGATGAATGTCTATGGAACGTACAAAGGGATCCAGGCAGGACAAAAATGTGGGTATCTATTTGCAAGCCTCTGTCTTCATTCAAACCCTGTATCTTTCATTATTCACCCTGTTGTCGTTTATAGCTGCAGCTGGTGTTCGATTTCTTTTTTTTTCCCCCACCCTGGCAGAATCCGCTGTCAGCAGCCTTCCACGCACGTTGCGCTCGGCTTGGTGCACCAGGGCGTTGAAAGCAGCCTCGACCCAGGCAGCGTATTATTTCCACCTCACAGCCCTAGGAAAGCGCCGTCGTTTCCCCCTTGAAG